CTGCATCAGGTACATTAAGCTTGTTTTTACATTAGAAGCATACTTTGTATTTACAATTATTAATAGAACACATAGAATGAATATTTCTCTGATACTTGGACTACCATCATTGATAACTGGAGGACATTTTCCTCTGTTATTTGCATATAAAACTTTAGAGAGCTATTAAACATCAAAATCAAAACAGGTAAGCACTTACTTCATTAGAAATAGTGTAGGAACTAGAATTTAAACTAGCAACATTATTAGGTGACATCTTTTGAACAATCATTCAGTGTAAATAGATTTTTTTAAAGTTAATTTACTATTGTTTTTTTAAATAGCCCAGATTCTGTTAAAACAAGGTGATTCTTTTACTTTAAAAAATTTGCATTTGCTGTAGAAAATGCTTGTTAAAAACAAGTAATTTCCAAAGTTCCAACCGTATAATTTTACATTCTCAATAAACTGAGAAAAGAGAGAAAAAGAACATGTTATAGCTGTAACTACTTCCTCTCTTTGGCACCACCTAACGCACATAACATGCCTCATGAACTTTGCTCAGACTTTGTTTTGTATGGAGGGAGGGACCTACAGTTTTCAGTTCTTCCGGACTGAGTTCACTAAAATGGCATTTTTCCACCTAGTTTTTGGTTTGCTCTGCAAAGCCCTTCTTGTCCTGTTCTCTCTCCTCTTCATTGCCTTTCTGGGTTACTGCTTGTACATTAAGTACATTCATATGAAATATGACCACATACCAGGGCCACCAAGGGACAGGTAAGCCAAACAGTCAAGTTGTGTTTGCTGCTGTTCTTTGCAAACATTCTTTCCATTTTCTTTCTCACACAGCTTCTTTTTTGGCCATTCACCAACACTTCTGAAGATAATGAAAAAAGATGGCTTAGTGCATGACAAATTCCTAGAATGGTAAGAACTGAATCTACACAGCATTTTTTTGTGCTCTCAGGACAGAATTTGTGCATCACTTCAAATCTCCATTATGTTTGATTAACTAATAGTTTAATATACAATACATCCAATATGCTTATACTCTAGATTTATTATTCCCAGTTTGAAATGATTATAAACGTGTTATTTTCAGGTCTGAGACTTACGGACATGTTTGTAGGATAAATCTTCTGCACTATGTCAGTATATGCATCACGTGTCCAGAAGCAACAAAGGTAAATATGTCTAAGAGTTGCAAGAGAAACAGTGTGAGAGGGAATGCA